AGATAGATAGATAGATAGATAGATAGATAGATAGATAGATAGATAGATAGATAGATAGATAGATAGATAGATAGATAGATAGATAGATAGATAGATAGATAGATAGATAGATAGATAGATAGATAGATAGATAGATAGATAGATAGATAGATAGATAGATAGATAGATAGATAGATAGATAGATAGATAGATAGATAGATAGATAGATAGATAGATAGATAGATAGATAGATAGATAGATAGATAGATAGATAGATAGATAGATAGATTGAAATCCAAATATAAATATATTTTTAAATTCAATCTAACAAAAAAAAATGTCTAATGTACAATCTGGCATGTTTTCTCTCTATTTATTTTAACAAATATAACGATTTATTCTGGGATTCTGGTGTTGAAGCTGGAGTGTAATTCATGCTGTGTGTTTCGCAGCTGTAGCTCTCAGTCACTCAGACTGTGTTCTTCTACATTTATTTTCTCTTCTCTCGGACGTTTGGAGCTTGTTTAGGGATTTGCTGAGTGCTGTCCAGTAATAGATGTATTATTCTGTGTCTGGAGTTATGATTTGGTTGTGTCTGATCGTCTGGGTTAGTTTGTCTGTAGGCTGTTTGTTTTTTGGGAAGCAGATGAAGCTCACTAAGTGAATGTCTCTCTGGACTGGATGAGTTGCTGAGAGGCTCCTGCGAGGTTCGTCTCGTGGCAGTGTGATGTTTTAAGCAGAGGAGATTATTCTGATGTGCCTCCAGAAATGTATGACTCGTTTATTTGTGTATTTAATGAAGTGAGAGATACTCTGTCTCTAACCCGCTATTACTAGTTACGCGAAGTGACATTATTTCAAACAGCTTCAGCTATTTCTAAGAAAAATGTCTCAACGTTTTGTAACCATTATATAAGTGGAATAATTGACTCGTCAAATTAAAAATAAGTGCACAGCTCAGGTGTAACTCCGAGGGGTGTCCATTCATTTTCAACAATTCAACAGTCAAACATCAATTATTTATCGTGTAAAGAATCTTGATTTGGTGAATGACTATAATTACAGCTCTCTATGAAATTGCTTTTTATTTTTATTTTCAATTCAATTCTCTAGCCTGCTTAACATGCAGACTCCTTTTATACTTAGATATCTGTGTGTATTTATGATTTATTTTAATGTTAAAAAGGAGAAAGTCTCTAACTGACTCAGCTTTTAAAATGTAACACGCAGACAATAGTTCCATTCTATCAGTATTGTTACTTTAGTATCCATTGACATACTGTTATACATTTTAATAATATTTTGATTCCATTTTCATATTTTTCTTTTTTCATGTTTTAGATCAAATTTGACTAATTGTGTTGTGTGTTTTTGGTTTTCTGATAATGGATTTATTATTATTATTATTATTATTATTATTTAATTCATTTTTACTTCAGTTTTGGTTTAAGTAATTATAGTACATAAACTAAATGAATTGTGTTTTATTTTATTTTATTTTTAATTTAATTTAATTTAATTTAATTTTTTTATTTTTATTTTTTTATGGCCTTGTCTTTCTTGTGTTTATAGTCACACTATAGCTTAAAAATCTAAAACCTCTCTGCTACATTGGAAATGGTCTTGCCTTCTTTCATATTTCCTTCAGAATCTGCACATCTAATTTAAACTGTTCCAGCTCTGAGTGCGAGACACTAGCTGTTTCAAACTGTATTTGCATGGGCTTTACACATGTTTGTTCTCTCTGTGTCTCCTGCTGTGTGTCTTCTCTCCTCTGCTGGAGGCTGGTGTAAGTGCAGCGCTGGATTGAGGTCAGCAGCAGATTAGTGCAGATAAACAGCAGCGTGTCAATACTCTTTGTACGGATATGGAATCTGTGTGTGTGTGTGTGTCTATGGGATGCCTTTGTATGTTTCCCACTCTTTCTATGTCTTCCATCACTCACACACTCACACACACACACACTGTATTCTAGCAGTGACATTGCGGGTGATGAATGTGGAATGTTTGCTCTGTTAAACCGGCTGCCGCAGCACAAATAATACATTGTAAAATCACAGAGGCGTCCATCTTGGCTCTGGATCCTGCACAGTTTCCTCAGACCTCTGTCCTCGTGTGGGCTGGGAACTGCTAAAGCGTTCGGATTGATTTGTTTGCCATCACAGTGAATGTGGCCGCGGTGTATCATGCCACGTCTCTGTATTTGGACAACATGATGATAACCGTGCTGTTCGTGAGGGAGAAATGTCTGAGGAAGTGGGAAGATCCTGCGCTGGTTAGCAGTGCTGTTCGTGAGCTCCGCTAGAGGGAGACAGAGAGCAATAACACCACAAACTTTGACCTTAGATTCTCAGAGTCTGTCCCAATACACACACTTAGCCACTTGAGAGTGTGCGAGACTGGTCTGATGAATGCCAAAGGTCAGTGCCCTTCATAAACACTAAATACACACTTATAGGGCTTCGGAGCGATATTTGAGGTTGAATATATCCCATCATTCATGCTTAGAAACGTATGAGCTCACAGGGTTTCTGCAGGTCTTAAAAAGTCTTAAATTGCACTTCCACAAATTAAGGCCTAAGAAGTTCTTACATCAGAGGAGAGTGTCTTTATTTCATAAAGTGGCATTAAAAGTTGCATGCACTGCAAAACCGGTTTCCCTTTGAGTTAAGTTGATTGTTCTGAGCTCATTAGCAGATGTGTGTTATTGTTTTAATCATAGACGCTTTATTTTGACCTTTTTCTTATATAACAAGACAATACAGCATGCCATTGTGCTTCTCAAGTAACATTTGCACTGGAAAACAAGGCTTTTGTGTTGTTGTTTTTGTTTTTTTTTTATTAATGGTTGTCTCTTGGAAGTTGTATTTTCAAACGTATTGTTAATAAAGGGCATTTACGTTTACATACGTATTGTATTCCATTGTTATTTTTTAACTTTTATTTATTTGGTCTTAAAAAAGTCTTACAAAGTCATACATTTACCTTCATAAACCTGGCTGAAACCCTTGCTCTGAAAACTTTTTAGTGTAAGTTTAATTAATTGGATATAATTTGGTAGTCAAACTTTAAGTATTATATGTGTGTTTTATAAAATGTGCAACTCTTTTTTTATCCCCTAATTAGAAGCACCACAACATTACCAGTAAATGTGTATAATGTATAACACTAATAAACACACTTCTTGATTTTGCAGAAAGGAGAAAGAAAGAAAGAACAAAAAAATAAAGAAAGAAAGAAAGAAGTAAAAAAAGAAAGAAAGAACGAGAGAAAGAAGGAAAAAAAGAAAGACGGAATGAATGAAAGAAAGAAAGGAAGAACAAAAAAATTAATAAAGAAAGAAAGAAAGAAAGAGAAAGAAGGAAAAAAGAAAGAAAGAAAGAAGGAAAAAAAGAAAAAGAAAGAAAGAAAGAAAGAAATATAGAAAGAAAGAAGGAAAGAAAGAAAGAAGGAAATAAGGAAAGAAAGAAAGACAGAAAGAAGGACAGAAGGAAAGAAAGAAAGAAGGAAGGAAGGAAAGAAAGAAAGACAGAAAGAAGGACAGAAGGAAAGAAAGAAAGAAGGAAAGAAAGAAAGAAGGACAGAAAGAAAGAAAGAAGGAAAGAAAGAAAAAAGGAAAGAAGAAAGAAAGAAAGAAAGAAAGAAGTACAGAAGGAAAGAAAGAAAGAAGGAAATAAGGAAAGAAGGAAAGAAAGAAAGACAGAAAGAAGGACAGAAGGAAAGAAAGAAAGAAGGAAATAAGGAAAGAAGGAAAGAAAGAAAGACAGAAAGAAAGAAAGAAAGAAGGAAAGAAAGAAAGAAGGACAGAAAGAAAAGAAAGAAAGAAAGAAAGAAAGAAAGAAAGAAAGAAGGAAAGAAAGAAAGAAGGAAGGAAGGAAGAAAGAGAAGGAAGGAAAGAAAGAAAGAAGGAAAGAAGGAAAGAAAGAAAGAAGGAAAGAAAGAAGGAAAGAAGGAAAGACGGAAAGAAGGAAAGAAAGAAAGAAAAAAGAAGGAAAGAAAGAAAGAAAGAAGGACAGAAGGAAATAAAGAAAGAAGGAAAGAAGGAAAGAAATAAAGAAGGAAGGAAGAAAGAGAAGGAAAGAAAGAAAGAAAGAAAGAAGGACAGAAAGAAA